GAACTACATAACCCAACTTTATACCCACGCTAATATGGAAACACAAATATCAAAATAATTAGCTCATTTATAGCAACTTTCGAAATCTCGTATTTTATATTTGTCTAAGTAGCAAAGTACTTAAAAAATGTAAATTATCACTTTAACTTTGAATAAAAAATATTTTTATGAATGCGTCTACAGATACTTCTACCATTCACAGTCTAATTTTGTTTTAACTTCATACAAAATGTTTCGTATTATGGAAAAAATCTGAATCTTTACACTTGGGGGTGTGCCTGAATATATAGCACCGAATATTGATTCACATGAATTTTACTGCCTCGATTTGACCAAATTTTGGGTTTCCCATTTTAGATTTATTCATGTACCTTGTACTTTAATGTATGTTAGCACATGAGTCCGAAAGTTATTCGTCATGTAATTATGAGGCCAAAAGTTTCTATGGATGAAAGCCATTATTTGATTTAAAGTAACTTTTGGCATCACAATCTTTAGATTTTTTTAATAGTTACTTCATAATTAATAACACAATTATGACTTTTTCTTGTAGGTTTATTTCTCTTATTTGTTATTAAAATAACTGCTATTAAGTTAATTTTAGCTTGGGTTGTATGTTTGAAAGTTGTTCTCTACGATTCTGTGAGGCCAAAGTCTACAAAAGATGAAAATAATTTTAGGTTAGATAGTTCAACATTCAGCCAATTATTTATTTTTATTTATAATATTTTCGTGTGGTATAGCAAGAATAATGGTCAAAAATCAAGTACTTTAGGATCAAAAAACGGCACATCAATTTCCAGATAATATTAACACTAATAAGTCTAAAAATCTAACCAAATATTGACTTTTTTAAAGTGTTATAAGTTTACTGACGAGGTGGCTGAGAAAGGGGATGAACCCTGAAACTGGTATCACCAAAATAGTGTAAATAAAAATAAATAATTGGTTGATTGCAGAACTACCTAACCCAAATTTATACCCACGCTAATATGGAAACAAACATATCAAAATAATTAGCTCATTTATAGCAACTTTGGACCTATCTTCCTTTATATTTGGCTAAGTAGCAAGTATTTAAAAAATTTAAATTATCACTTTAACTTTGAATAAAAAATATTTTTATGAATGCGTCTACAGATACTTCTACCATTCACAGTCGTAATTTTGTCTTAACCTTATAGAAAATGTTTCGTTTTATGGAAAAAATCTGAATCTTTACACTTGGGGGGTGTGCCTGAATATATAGCACCGAATATTGATTCACATGAATTTTACTGCCTCGATTTGACCAAATTTTGGGTTTCCGATTTTAGATTTATTCATGTACCTTATACTTAAATGTATGTTAGCACATGAGTCCGAAAGTCATTCGTCATGTAATTATGAGGCCAAAAGTTTCTATGGATGAAAGCCATTATTTGATTTAAAGTAACTTTTGGCATCACAATCTTTAGATTTTTTTAATAGTTCTTCATAATTAATAACACAATTATGACTTTTTCTTGTAGGTTTATTTCTCTTATTTGTTATTAAAATAACTGCTATTAAGTTAATTTTAGCTTGGGTTGTAAGTTTGAAAGTTGTTTTCTACGATTCTGTGAGGCCGAATTGTACAAAAGATGAAAATAATTTTAGGCTAGATAGTTCACCACTCTGCCAATTATTTATTTTTATTTATACTATTTTGGTGTGGTATAGCAATAATAATGGTCAACAATCAAGGATTTTACAATTTACTTCCTTTATCGCATCCCCTTTGCTCCAGCCTTACTCCGCTCTTTTCCACTCCTTTCATCCACCCAGCTTCTCTTCCATCTTCATTCAATATTTCTGTTATACTTTCCTTTTTTCTTTAATTTCGCCCTAGTCTTGTAGCATGTATTCTAAATTCTCTTGCACTTCTCCACACATCCTATATATTCTTCTGCTTTCGCTTAAGCAAAAGTTATTGTTTCTTTCTTCATGTCCACCCCTCTGTCTAGCAATTACTTTTTCTCCTTCGTTCTTTCTCTCTCTAGGTACCTTGGCGTTGTTTCTGATATTATCTTTAGACGAGTATAACCCCCATTGTACCTAGGTTCCTTTATACTCGCCATTGGACGTATTTGTCCTTGTCGCCACTTTCGAGGAGACCTTTACTTTTCCACATCTCATTCATTATTTCACACAGTCTTTCAATCAAATCATCCGTTCTAAACGTCCATACATCAATTACCAATCCATTCCTCCCTGGTCTTTTCCCTCTTTTCGACCCTCCAACTTGTTTCCATATTTTTTCCACTGTAATGTTCGGCCATTCTTTCTCTCTCAGCATTCTCGGTTTAACTCTTTTGCGCTACAATACTCTCAATAGTTTCATGAAATGGTACTTCCATTGTATTATTAGCATTTCTTCACTGATCATGTTTTTGTTTTTCCTTATTTTGGTTCTTGCTCTGATTTTATGGCTTTTATTTTATTTCTTCTTTCGGAATCTCTTCTTTTTTTTCTTCACACCGACCTGTTATTATTTCTTGCTGGACAGTACTCTTCTTTTTTATCTTTCCCTTTTTACACCTTCGTAAACATTTTCTTTCTTATGTTTTTAAATCTCTGCATCTATTAACCCGCCATTTGTTTCTCTTTTCTGATTTCTTAGTTATAAATCCTTTTCTTATTGCTGCTTTTTCAGTTGTTGTTTTTAATTCTTCTGTTTTATTTTAGCTTACTTCTTTTGAATTCAATTTCCAACATCTTTTATAATGCTCAGTTCCCTTCTCCTTTTTATCTACTTCCTTACTTCTATCCCTCAATTTTACTTCTTATAGCATGTGGTCGGAATCAATTCTTTCTCCTAATTTAAATGTTTCGGCTTCTTCATCAGCTACTGGGTTACATATACAGGTAAATTCTTTATCTTCATCCCCCTCCTTCACCCCATTCAAGACTACCAAACTCTTTCTTCAATTAATTTCCATAGAAATTTTCTGTCTTTATTTAAAATTTTATCTTTAGATTTTTCTGTGCGTTCTCCGCTATATTCCCTGCTTTTGTTGCCTATTTTGGCGTTAAAACCATCTCCTATCAGAAGAAATTCTTCGTTAGACTCTTCAATTTTTTCTTAAATTTTTTTCTTCAAATTTTTTTTAATTGCAATGCAATACAATATGCAAATTCTTTTTTTCTTTTATCTTTCTTTCCACTATGCGTTCCACTTCTATTACCCGCTCTTCGATTTGTTTTATATCTTTTGTCACCCCTGTTATGGATCCCCCACTTGCTTCACCCTCAACTTTTCCTTTTTCCTTGTTCAATTTATTGCCCTTACTCTTTAGTATCCATGTTTCTGTTAATCACACAAAATCAAAATTTTATGTACTCATTAAATAAATTCTGTTTATTTTTCTTAATAATGCAATATTTCAAACAAGCAATTTTAAACCCCATTTGTCCTCCCCGCTTTTCTTTTCCATTCCCTCTCTATTTTTTTTTATAATTATTACCCCTTCTCTTTATGCTTCCTTGCTCAGTTAATTCCAACTCTCTTTGTAAAATTTTTCATCCAAATTTCCCTGTCTTCATTCCATGTCCTCAACTTTCCGTTTCTTACATTCTATAGCTGTTGTGTATCTTTTTTTTTCTTTCTTACTCTCTAACTTCTTTCTGAATTTTTGGCTCTTCTACTGTCCAATTGTTTTCAGTTGCTTTATATTTTCTTTAATTTTAGATAAATTTCCAACATTCTTCTGGAAATTACTACCTTCAAACAACTTCCCGTATTTACATAAAACCTAGTCATAATATTAGCTTTGTTAAGTAAATCATCTATGCAACCAACTTTTATACTTAACAATCTTTTCTCAAACCAAAATTGTTAAAATTACTGTTAAAAGATGTCACTGGATGTGCGTGAGTCCAAATGTTACGTTGAATGTGTGAGTCACTTCGGCCTCAAAAGCTACGGCGAGGCCGAAACTTCCAATTTGAGCCCAAAAGTATATATACGTGAGAGAATTTGAGGTCGAAAGTTATCATTAACATATATATATATATATATAAATATATATATATACAAACTTTGCTCGTTTAATAGTATAAGATATAAATTCGTTTTCGTTGTAATCTGATCCATTAATAAATCTTTTAAATTTTGTTATTATGTGGCATTGACATCTTTGTCATTTTTTTTCTGTCATGGCTGATTGCTTATTAAAAAAAAATAAATTGGACGAAGTCGTCTATGGAGTGTATAATATGTTGCCTATGCAAAAATTGTCAGGCCTGAACAGATGAAATGAACAGCCTGTATATCTATCACTATCCGAGAAACTAAATTCTGAATCGGGATCTGATTCCTCTAGATATAAACAGAAGCTTGACTGGATTTTCCATTACAAAACAAAGTAAAAATCTTTAAAAGGGCTGATTGAAAGAAAATATCGAAAAATCGATTAAAATAAAACATACGAATAACGACAGGAATCTGAAAAAAAAACACGACACGAAAGCACAAGTAAGAATGAAAGCTCCAGTTAACCTAAGTCGAAAGGCCATGAATAATTTGTTGAGCTGTGTGAAAACGGTCATAGTCGTTTTAACTGAACTAGACATCCCTTGACCAACAGTATTAAGGTTTTAAACGATTACGCACTTTTACAACTCCATCTGTTCCGTAAACGGAGTATAGACGATTTTTATTCGATCAAAGAAGTAAAATGATCATTTTGTCATAGAAAACATAATTAATAGATATATGGAAAAATTGTCTGCAGGGTTTATGTTTATGTTAAATTTTCTACCAGTAGTATTCATGCTGTTTTCTTTCTTTGTACTCTGTATACACTTTGAAGCAAATAATACTGTTCTCAATGGGTAACTTCGATGTTTAGGTTATGCGTTCATCTTATTATTTTATTATTCTCGATCTCTAGCTTCTAGTTAGTTTACAGATACTTCCCTAAAGCTTCCTGGATGTGTTGGCTTAAGTGTTAAGTTTTACCGTTAAGTAATAATACAACTTATAATCGTTTCTCCACATTTATTTTTTTAATATAAACGGAGTGAGTTCTAACCTAAGTCAGTCCCTCAATAAGTCATCTGTGTACGTAAAAAAGCACTTACTGTAAAAATAACATAAATAATAAAAATAATAATTTGACTTTCATTTACAACATATACACATCAATAAAAACTTGTATAAAAAATTATAACCCTGGTTCAAAATCTATACAACAATAAAATTACACGATATGTACACATTATCTACAACAAACAAAAATAATTAATTAAAAACAAATACAACGTGACAATTGATCTACAAGCTGCCAATATCGTTAAAGCGTTTCAACTTCTCTGGGAATGGATCTTTGAAGAGTACGGGGTCCGCTCGAAATTCGACCGACTTCAAGGGCATACGATTGAAAGCCTTCGCAAACCTATCGACGCATTGCGACCTTTCAATCATGTGCCCCAAATCTGCTGATAGCATCTCGTTATTTACGCACTCCGGACATTTGAACTTCTTCCGGGGCGTCACCTGGAACGAAAGTATTATTAGTCGAAATTCCCCAAGACTACTAGACCAAGGGCTAGCGATCGATATAGCGCAAAACGTACTTTGATAGGCGGTTTGTTTGTCACATTAGCAACTAGGAAATTCATGGCAATATCTTCACAGTTCATATGTTCATCCACCCAATCTCTGACTCCCGCTGGCATCGCCGTCGTGTACAAAAAGCTCCAGTATTTGTGCAAGAAGGCGGCGCCGGTTAGCACCATCGAAATTTCGTTCTTCCATTCCGATTCGTACGTCCATGTATTGGTGACGTTGTCCCACCTGTGGGTGCGGGATGGAAACCCTGGAGTTTTGGGTGTGAGATGGTTTTTATTATTTTAATGGAAACACGAACCCACTATCCGATCCGGAAATTCTCTCCACACTTCGTAACCAAATTCCACTTCGTCGGCGGTTAACATGACGATGTCGTCGTCGATGTGGAGAATGGCCTCTGTCTCGATCTCGTTATACGGATAAAATCTATTGGACAGTTTGTTGGCACTTGTTCTGATAACTTTCACGGGTTTTTGAATTTGGGGAAATGATGACACTGCAAATACAAACGTAACCGTAAAAGAGTTGCCGTAAATAACAGTAGGTTATAGAGTGTGTCCGTAAAGGAATAAATTCGATGCAAAATTCAAGAATGCACTATTAAAAAAAAATTATATTGTTTAAGCAGAAATACGCCCCTGAAACAAGATAAAACATGTAATATGACGTTTCTGAGTTAATCAATAAAATAAACTGTTTGATTCACTAATTTTTTAAAAGTTATTGTTACTTCACAAAATTTTGAAGTGACGTCATTGCAATGTTGGTGGGGGACAATTAGACAATTTCTGATTAGCGTTTAACTCTTACAATAAATCTAAAATTTCACACCCATTGGTCCAGTAGTTTTGGAGATTACTCGTGTAATAAAATCGCTAACACACGACGGCAGACAGTCTGCAGGCGGAAACGCGAGACCTACTTTTCATATTCTAAGAATTACGACACGTCGAGAACACATAAAATTAACTTTAAACAAACTTTACTGGTTTATTATGTTTGAAAAGTAAACAATACTAGACAGGTCGATTTAAAAATTATTGGTCGATAACGTCAAAGCTAACAATTATGCATACACGGTGATTACATTTGTAAATTGTCAGTCTTCTCGTATTTTTCACATGGAATTATTCAAATGCCAAAATCAATCTTATCTTAGCAAGTACTAGCCCCGCCCACCCACCCTCTATTTTCTTAGAAGGTATGTCATCTGCCACAATCAGTGTTCTCTTAGCATCTACCAGCCACTCTGTATTTTCTTAGAGGGTATGTCATTTGCCAAAATCAGTCTTACCTTAGTAGGTAATAGCCCCGCCCACCCAACCTATTTTTTTAGAGGGTATGTCATTTACCAAAATCAGTATTTTTTAAGCAAGTACTAGCCCCGCCTACCCAGCCTTTATTTTTTTAGGCGGTATGTTATTTGCCAAAATCAGTCTTATCTTAGTAGGTACTAGCCCCGCCCACGCGCCCTCATTTTCTTCTAAAATTAGTCTTATTTTAGCAGGTAATCTAATGACTAAATTTATTTGTGTTGAAGATCTACCTTTTATTCTAACCCGATTAGATCAATCACTGAAATGGAGGCGGGGTGGGTGGGTGGGGCTAATTACGTTTTTCTGTCGTGTGAGCGTGGAAACTAATGGAATTCAGGATGTGAAAAAAGTAAAAAAAAAAAAAAACGCTAATCGTAATTTTTTGTTATATTATTTGATATAAAATTATTTCTTATTTCAAAAGAAAAAAAATCAATGAACTGGTGGGTGGGGGGGGTCAAGTTTAACTTTTTCCTACAGTGTCTTTTATAAGCAAGCAATAGGCCTGCTCACTTACCCCCCTCTTCATGCTAGTGGCTAATCTTAGCACTGTTAATTAATGACAACATTGTTAAAAAAGACATATAGAAAGTATTAAGCTGTGTTAAATAAGGATACCAGGCGTAAAAATCATATCTAAAAGCAATGTTACTGATGCTCCTCCTACTCGCACACCTTAATATATCATTTCATTGGTCCTAAGAAAAGGGGCGGCGTTTACAATTGTATACTATCCTCAAATATATTTGGCGTTTATGACTTCACACCAATTTGACTCTCATTATAATTCAATAGGCCGTCACAACCGGATGTCTTAAACCCGCTCACCGATACCTACCTGAAAAGACCTTTTCGACGTGCCAGGGACGGTCGAGACGCGAAGGACCGGACTCAGAGTAATTTTGTTTGTTAAAATTTTCAAATTTCAAAATTTCCTTACAGAACATGATTTATACTTTGAAGAAAATTACACAAAGACACAATTATTAGAAGTGTTACACACTCGAAAATTTGAGAAACAATATAAAATAGATGCTATGGCGCGAGATCGTGGATTTAGGGTGATTCCGCCGTACCATTGTATATTTAACCCCATCGAACTAATCTGGTCGCAAATGAAAAATAATATAAGAAGGAATAATACGGCACCAAAATTTAGTAGTGCAACAATTGACATAATTAGGGAAGAAGCTTCCAAAATAACTGCCGAAATGTGGGCCAATTGTGTACGACATTCCACAAAAGAAGAAGACCAGTACAGGGCACGGTTGATAACACCGTTAATTATTAATTTAGAAGAGTCGAGTGATGATGACAGTGACTATTTCGATCAATAAATAAGCAGTAGTAGTTAATAAGTAAATAGTTGTGCTGTAATAAAAAATGATTGAGTACAAAGTTACTTTGTTTTTACTTAAAATAAAAAACTCGAAAGGCGCAGTTGTCGGTAAATGCAAAACTCAGTCCTGCCCTGTGCTTTTACTAGAAAAGGTCTTTTCAGGTAGGTATCGGTGAGCGGGTTTAAGACATCCGGTTGTGACGGCCTATTGAATTATAATGGGAGTCAAATTGGTGTGAAGTCATAAACGCCAAATATGTTTGAGGATAGTATACATTGTACCTTAATGTGTCTATTTCTATTTTATTTAAGTGTAAACGCTGACGGAAATCGTTTTTCGAACAAAAAAAAAATAAAATAAAATTTAGTAAAAATAAAACTGTATTTAAAAAAAATGTTATCCTAGGTTCTATTATTTATCAATATAAAATGCAATTTCCGTCTGTGAGCCAATGAAATCGGTTATAAAAGCGGAAGATGGGTGGGTGGGCGGGGTCACTTTTTACTTTGTTTTCAATCTTAGATATCTTAGATTCTACAGCTTGTCAATATACATAATTCAGTTCCCATTTTACAGTAAATAAAATAAGTCAGTGAAATGGAGAAAGGAGGTGGGCGGGGTTACATTTAGCTTTTTCTAGTTAGAGTCTTATAAGCAACCAATAGCCCCACCCACCCGCCCCTTCTCTATTCTGGTGACTACTCTTAATATTGTTAACTAATGACAATATTATTATCTTTTAGAATCTTAGGCAAATCTGTTAATCCGTTATTGAGGAACTAGATAATTTGATAAACAAGGTATATACCTAGTGTATTAAGCTGGTGTCAAACAAGCATAGTAGATATAAAAATTATATTTAAAAGCAATATTTCCGATGGTCCTCCTACTCTCACAAGCTCCACCTTAATAAATTATTTCATTGGCCCCAAGAAGAGGGGCGGCGTTTACAATTGTACATTGTACCTCAATGTGCCTGCTTTACATAATTCTTTGTTATTTAAGTGTAAATGCTGACGGCAATCGCTTTTAGAAAAAAAAATTGAAAAAATAAAATTGTATTTGAAAAATGTTATCCTAGATTCTATTATTTATCAATATAAAATCCAACTAGGGTGATAAAATCGGAAGAGGGGTGGGTGGGCGAGGCCAATTTTGACGTTGTTTTATTAAATCTAAGATGCCACCACTTGTCAAAACATAATTCAGTTCTCATTTTACAGTAAATAAAATAAGTCAGTGAAATGGAGAAAGGAGGTGGGGTTACGTTTAGCTTTTTCTAGAGTCTTGTAAGCAATCAATAGCCCCGCCCACCCGCCCCCTCTCTATTCTGGTGACTACTCCTAATACTGTTAATTACTGACAACATTATTATCTTATTTGGGCAAATCTCTTAAACTTTTGGTGAGAAAATAGCTAAATTGTTAAACAAGGTACATAGAAAGTATTAAGCACACCAGACGTAAGACTCATATTAAAAAAGCAATATTACCGATGCTCCTCCCACTCGTACAAGCCCCACTATAATAAATCATTTCATTGGTTCGAAAAAGAGGGGCGGTGTACAATTGTACCTCATTGTGTCTACTCAAATAAAATTTAGTAAAAAGAAACTGTAATCCTGGATTACATTATTTGTCAACGTAAAATCCAACTTCCTTCTTAGAATCATAAAATGAGTGATCAAAAGGGAATAGAGGTGGGTGGGAGGGGCCACTTTTGACTTTTTTAAGCCTAGTCAAAATAAAATTCAATTCCTAATTTTACAGTAAAAAAATTGAGAAAGGAGGTAGGTGGGGCTAATTTTAACCTGTTTTACTCAGATACTCAGTGAAGAACAGTGATTTTATTGGCTCTGGGGTGAAAGGCGGATTTCAAAAGATCTGGGTTAAAAAAATATGACTGGTTGTATTACAGGCAAAAGAAAATTCGCACGCAACTACCCGTCAGCATGTATTAGATTTTAATCTTCCAATACATGAGTTTGTGAAGCATGAACGACTTCCATAGTGTGGAAAACCATATTTATTTTACTGTGGATTTTAGATTTTTTTTCCTCTTTTTTAGAATTTTTGAGAAATCGTTTGGTTTCCGTTTTGATAACCCGGTTTCTGAATCATGAAGATTCAAATGTATCCAATCCTCAAATTTGGTTTCAAAAAGGTAATGCGCCGCCGCATTATGTTTTTAATGTTGGGCACTACGTGAATATTTTTCAGAATAGATAGATGTATCTACAGAATATTTTAGAGTACAAGTGCATGAAAACAAATCCTGGGATACTGATGATTTAAAAATTGTAATGTGGAGTGAAGCCTGCTCATTAACTTTTGAAATCGGCCACAGGAATTTTACTTTCGTGTAAGACACTGGCAAGTTTTTCAAGGTCATCATTTGAAAGACTTAATTTAATTAGTATCAACCCGGCTCGTAAATTTTTATGGTATGTCGTAAAAATGCAAACGTTCTTATATGAAAGGAGACGAAAGTCAAGCAATCTGAACGAAGTCAAGAGAAAATGTTGTTGGAATAAACGATAATATTTATTTTTGCTGCCTTTCCTCTTCATAGTCGTAAGAACTGGTGCCAAATATGGAATTACATAATTCGAAGTTATTTACAATCTCAAGTGAAGTTGTAAGTACAATTTCAGCATTTAGCACAGAATTGCAGTCCTTTTCATTCTTTTATTAAATCTGACTGAGCGTGGTTAAAGAAAATCAAGGCGGATTCATAAACCACAAGTGCAGGAGTACGCTATTTTAAAAAATTTAAATAACAGCAAATCCGATTCGACGGATTGCAAACATTCCATGATTATGCAACCAACATTACTAGCGCGGACAACTCGATCGTGTAAAAAAATGACAAGTGCATTGTTTTCTAATAAAAAGTTAAAACTTTTGGCAGAAAACGTACATAAAAAGTTTATATTTCCAGTTTCTAACCTTATATTTCAAAGAACATAACCTACCTATTCGTGAAAAAGAAAACAAACAAAATGCTGTAACAAATTAAAAGTGTACATGTTTACATATTTTTTGAGCAGTGACGTACTCGTACGTATACAATAAAGCACTAAAGTGTTGGGCAAACCAATTTTTGAAATCTATTAGCTCATGTTACGCAATTTAGGTATTTAAATTTATCGAAATGGAACACCAACATAAAACACATTGTGGTCAGTTTCAATTTAGTTTACGAATTTAATATAACAAAATATTGTTTGTTCTCTTGTGTGATTATTTACGTTTATCACATCAAGACGTTATAATTATAAAATTCATAATTTATTTTCAAACTATTCACCTACAACGCAACCCGTAATACATCATACAGTGCCTAGGTCGTCTTGATAATTATTATTCACTGTATTACCCAATACTAACACTAATTTCTGACTAATTTTAAATTTGTTATGTACAACAACACTGATTAGTGATTAAGTGTGATGACCTCAAGGTCAGCTTTCCATTTCCTGACATCCTCACGTCCATATTAGCCCTTAAACGTTTAGTCCCATTAAACTTTGAACCCAATACATATGCAAATAGTGCAAATCTTATATTTACATCACAAAAGATCCAAATTGCGTCAATTTAAACGATAAGTTTAAGCGAACCTCTTTATACTTACAAAGCGGTGGACTCTTCTTTTGGTTATTCCAAACGACGAGCACTTTCATAAGACTAGGAACTCTTGATAACCTATCGATCAGCGTAAAAAGACTATCGACCCTGTCATATGTTAAAATAACAGCGGTAAATCCATGCGATTTCGGTGCCGTCAGCGGAAGGAAAAGCGGATTCGTGTTTTTTTCTTCAGGCTTCAAATTCCAATCATCATAGATTCGGCTCCAGTGCGGATAAACCCGGTCTTGGATGATATCCAAGGTCGTCAGGGCGATTTTATCTATGCTGGAGAAGTACGAATTATACAGAAATCGGATGGTTTCCCGCATCTGACGTATACGCTTGGGAGAAATTTTCCCTAATACGTCCATCAGGGTATGTAAATAGTTTTCCATGATGAAAACGGCGGCCCGTTTCCAGTCTATCACATTACTAAATGGCAACACGGCGCCATCCATGACGATGACGGGGATACAATCGGCGGCCATCGCTTCCAATAAAGCGAACTGACCTATCCTTTCGCCTCGAAAAATAAGGCAAAAGGTGCTATCCTGGAGTACGGCAGGATAGTTGAATTTTTCTTCGGGGTTGTCCTTGCAACGTTTTGTATAATTATGATTATGGCAGGCACTGACGACTAACAAGTCGGGATTACGATATGCTAACTTCTGTAAGACGCCCCAGTAATTAGAATAGAGGTGTAGTTGGGAGGACGTCGCCAACCACGACCTAAAAACATCATCTCACTTATACATTTACTTCACTGAATGCGAAAGACATTCTTAAATGTGTCTTTTGTAAGTTATACATGCAAATAGAGAGTTTTCGGAAATAATTGGAAGATTATTATAATTAATTAGTATAATTGCCTTCCCCTAAATTCGGAAGTGGACCGGTCCGAACGCTTTTACGACTACTGCGACGTTTTATTGTATTCTTTAATTTCATACAAGCAAAAGCAAATTACTTAAGAAATGTCATTTTTCGCAGCGGTCAAAAGTATATGTCTATGTACTATTTCGCAATTGTTTAGATTCAATATAATATAATTCAAGTATTGGTTTTGGCAAAGTGTGACGTCATACATGACATCTAAACATCGCAATACCGAGACACTGCCGCTTCCGCTGAAACAAGAGGTCAAAGTTGAAATGCTGATAATGTTGATGTTGTGACGAGTTTCTCTAATCTACTACCACTCTGCTGTATTTAGATAAATTCTGATGACCCTAATGATGGGTCTTTTGCTGTATTGTATTCATTGTCTTAGGTTCTTGGACTAAACTAATCCCTTAGCGCGTCTTTCTTTTCCGATCAGGGGTCAGCCCTACTGTAGTGTTAACGATGCAAATTTTGACGCTCTGAAAACCCTGATAAGGGTACCGATGGCATTTGTGACCGCCGCGCCGACGCGACTGAAAAACCATCGCGGCAACGTCCGAAATCGCCACCATCCATTTTTTTGTATACCCGAGCTCGATAAACCGAACACCGCTAGGAACAGATAAGGGTCGCCCATCGTATTTCCGCTACCGCGTCACGTCCTCTTTCGACGCACTATACCCATCGAATCCCCGTTCAAGCGTCGTCACCTCCCCAGGATTCGAAGAAGCCCGATCCATGGAGAAGTCGCCCTTGACCGCATTTGATTTCTCCGATTTCGAGTAACCCGAGGTGTTGTAGAAGGCGCCACCCCGTGACGTGAAAGCAACCACATCGCCTAGACCGACCAGGCCTGTCTCACAGCAGTAGTTGGTCTGGGGCGTGGTGCTGACGTACGACCCAAACCCCCGCGAGACCTGGACCGTCACCGTCAACTTCGCCGGCCAAAGAGTTAAACGTTGTCTGTGTGTTTTTTAAATGTGTTTAAACGTGTGGTGACCGAATTTAAATAAAAGTTTTCGCGCTGAAATGAATTAACAGCGGCGCGAAATTACATTTGAATAATTTGAATTTGAAAGAAAAAAAATTCAATCACAAAAAAAGGAAATCGTTAAACATAGGCAACCTGGTGCACGGAAATGCTTGCTTGGTAATCGGACGATTTAGCGCTAGGGAGTTTTTAGTTACAGGGTTGGTTGATTGGTAGAGACAGAGCTGCATGACGTAGAATCATTCTGAATGTGCTTGTGTGAGTGTAACCACGTGGTAAAAGCTAGGTTTAAATTAGTTGGTTTGGTAGTTAATAAAATGGGAGGAAGCCTTTGTTTAACGACAATCAATCGTAACTGGCGTCACTCAGGTGTCCCTAATCCGCACGGTTGCGGTCTTTTTAATCGAAAATTTGCGGATTTCCGGTCAACGCGAAACACGTGCTGTAAATTTGTTTCATTGTTTATAAATTCACCAATCAAGTTAGTTTTTCTTAATAGTCAGCTAGTGCAAACACAATTCAACAATCAGGATTATTTAAATAAATCACTTTATAGAAGATTTCATGAAATTCACTTACTCAGGAAAACACCTTATTGTTTAATTACGAATAAGTTTCTAGATGCATATACGTAAGTGTTACATTATAACACTTCTTAATTCCTCACACAAGATTGCTAATAGTTCATTTACGGCAGTTAAACAAGTTCATTATACTGCGAACTGGCGGGGGCTATGATAATTTCTTCCCTTAGGTGGTTATCATCGTTACCATGATTAATTCACCGAGGCATGCCCTCACAACGCTACAGATTGATTAATTCATGGAGGTCCGTCCTCGCGACGCTAGAGATTAATAACATCACCGAGACGCTTTTTCCTCGCAACGATTTTTAAAATTTACATCACCGAGACGCTTTTTCCCTCGGAGCGATGATTGGATATTTTTGTGTTTATTTATTATGTGTTTTGTTGGGGTAACCAGTTTTTTTTTTAAGTAACCAATCACTTAGATCATGATATAATTTGACATAATGTAAACTCTTTGTTTGAACCGTTGATAAAGTGTGGCAAATATTAATCTCATGTAAATTTTGTTAACTCTGCAATTTTCCACCTCATACAATATTTCTCAGTGTCACAGGTTTAACTTCAGTTATTTTATTTGTTGTATAATTTTAATTGAACGTAAATTTCATGTTCTACAGGTTTAACCTCACATAATATTTCTATTTGTACAAGTTTATTTCACACCAGATCTTTTGTTTCATAAATGCTTGCTAAGTTTGTTTTGTAAATACTTTGTTGATGAATGTTTCTATCATAAATTGTTTGATGTCCAATGTTTATCTCACATAAGATTTATTTGTTGTTTAAATTTTCACAAGATTGTATGGCGAATTTAAATGTTGTTTATTGCTCTTTGAAACTTTAACACTTGTTCAGTTGTTGTTAACATCAGAGTTATAAGAGATTGAATATTTAAAAATGGAATTGAGGTTAAATGACACAGAAAACGTGGGAGAAGCGAAGTTCGGTTCCTAGTCGAGCTGGCGAGGTTTATCGTGTCACCTGTACAAGCCCATAGGGTTGGATAGATTCAGGGGCGGCCGCCGATGTTGTAGTGCTCTCGACTTGGACCAATAGTCGAGATCCACTTGCGGGTCTGGCGACCGTAATGGCCTAGTTTCGCAGGGTACGTTCGTAATGGAGATATGCATGCGGGTAGGCTTTGTGATAGATAGAATCACCGTCGTGGAGGGAGAACAGCCCCAGACCGGTGGCCCCAAACTCCGCTTATGCTACAACGCCCGGGTACTTTTGTTGTGATCCTGTTAACTGCCGTAACCTTAAAATCTGCCGTCACACGTCCGTAACAACTTGTGTATTTGCATCCAGTTACTTGATTCAGTTTTTGCTTTGTTTTGTTAAATTTGTGATATTCAAATATTTGCATTGACTCCCAACAGATGTACTGAATTTTGCGTTTGTTCGTTTTTCATATGTGCATGTCTGTCAATTCGCGCGTGTCTTTTTTTCATATATCTTAAGGTGTTTGAAATGTAATATGTCCGTGAGTAACGCAAGGGGGTTTTTGCGCTGAGGAGTAAATCTTCGCAGCTCTTTCCTCCTATGAGGGGGTGCCGTGGCAGCCCCTCCAAAACAATTTTGTCTATTATTTCTTGCGCTCTCAACTCACATGCAGTATATGCTCACTTGTATGAAAGAACGTCTTCCCGCTACTTAAAAAAAAACACAACGTAGGTTCTCATTTGTTAGATGATCACAGCCAAGGCCAAATTTTGAATTTTTGAATTTTTCGCGGGCTTTGTAAACTTTTTCAAGGTCAATTTAAAGGCGGGAAGCTTGGGTTATTACAAAAACCTTTAAATAACTGTAAACTTTTTAAATATGTTTGGGAGTTTAAGATATTTTAAAAACAAAGTTCGGTGTCTGAAGATAATAACGCGTTTGTATTCGTACTAGCGAATTCTATCAATTTGACGTTAGTAAATTGTTATAGTATTATTAAAATGTCACAGGTGAATTAATGAACTGTTTAAATGGTCCCCAACAATGCGAAAATCATTTTCGTTTTCCAGACATCTTGTTCGGCTACCGGAACTTGATAGAATGTTCTGATTAAAAATCAGTTTATCAAATATTGTCTTCCAGCGTGGAAAGTTTGTATGGGTAAGCTTTACTTCCGGACGGCGAACTGCAGTATAATCTCATCCGGTACAAGACAGGTCTGACATACGCGAGAAAACAAAGTAGGACCCTGCAGAATGGCGGATCAATCTACACATCTATAGTTAGAACACATTTCAAGTAATAGACAGTAGTTTTAATGTCTATTCTTGATGTCGGCAGGTAGAAAAGTAGTTGAAGGAGCGATAATGATCTGGGTACCCAAAAGGGAAGATGTTCCAAAATGTATCAGTTTTTCGAAGAAATATAGAGGTTCTGATAGGTTTTGTCCATAAGCCCTTATACCCAAATCTATAAAAAAGATCAGATTGGGGTAGGCCTCTAGGAGGATAAATAGGGTCTATTTTAAATGCCCAAAACTTGAGAAAACGCCTTTGGATTTTTTCATAGACTGAATGTAAAATTGAACTGAAGGAGGCGATACAATACTAGCGTATTTTAATCTCTTACATTCATTACATCATGGTACGGCCCCAAATACTAGTTTCAAGTAACCAAAGTGAGAAAAAAGGCCCGATTCAGCTCTAGGTACTGTGTCCTAAGAAGCTTTAACTTCTACAAAGGAAGAGGTTATAGTAGTACTTAGTAAGTACCTCTCGAGGTTACGAAGTTTCACATTATGACATTAATATATCAAAAGTTCCGTGGTGTGTTATATTACTGCTTCTGTCAAACTCTGCTATCTTTACCCCGTAAGGTTCAAACGTGGAAGGATCTTTGTTTCCTAAGGTTTAACCTGTTTAAACGACATTCACAAATAAAAAAGGTAAAGGTAAGAGTTATGGGTAACGACGCAGCTCGTTTTTCAGTACCCTATATAACTATGAAGAGCTGGGCAAAGCACTATTCGCCACGCCCAACTTATCGGCTGGAAGTCGGAGAAGTTGAATGTTCTAGTTATCTGTATGCGGGAGCTCGGATTCGAAACCCTCGTCCTTCACGTCATTCGATTTTAAGGTGTCCCTGAAGGGAAAACCACCATCCTTGAGGTTTTCACTACTCCTTTGAGTCCAACCTAATGTGGGTACACCGGAGGACGGCACTGGTCCGGTGGGGAGTGGGGCCTGCCTCGAAGTACCAGGCTTTGTCTGCCGAGGGGGTACTAGGAAACTGGGGCTGCTAAGCGTTACCTCCGTAAGGGGGAC